ATTCGCACTTACTTGCCATCCTTAAACTAAGAGAATGAAATAAAGAGCAATGTGTAGTTAGTTGCATGGTTTTTTTGGTAAATCATGTTGTAACAGTAACACTCGATGATATGTATGTTTTGACAGGAACGGTATCCAAAACAGGAGGAACTCATTCGAGGATGGTGTGTGGGGGACAACATGTCCAATCCCTCCTGGCCGCAACTTCACTTACACCCTTCAAATGAAGGACCAAATTGGTAGCTTCTTCTATTTCCCTTCCTTGGCTTTCCACAAGGCTGCCGGTGGTTTCGGAGCCATTAAGATCTTAAGCAGACCCCAAATCCCTGTCCCTTTCGACCCCCCAACCGATGATTACAGTGTCTTAATCGGAGATTGGTACAAGACTAATCACACTGTAAGTAAACATATCATCAGTTTTGCTATGAAGCCATCAGATGGCTCGACTTATGGAGTCATCCACTCTTATTGACCAATAGTGTATTAACACGTGTCCTACAATAAGTACAATCTGAACATGTGTCAATACATTAAGTGATGAATGACTACATAAGAAAACCATCCGATGGCTCCATAGAATTGTTGAACATATCATCTAAAGTATAAACAACTGTCCCTGTCCCCATGAGTCACTCAAAATTGGTAGCTAAGTTTAAGCCTTTTTTCTTGCATTCATTAATTATTAGGCATTGAGGGCCATCCTTGACCGGGGCAAGAAATTGCCTTTACCCCACGGCATTCTCATCAACGGCCGTGGCCCCAACATCACCTCTTTCACTGTTCAACCAGGTATACTTATACTACAGTTCTGTTACGAAATTATTCCGTCGGTGTTTTTATACGTATATTATTTATTCTACAGTAATCTACATGTGTATCTAACAGTTAGAAACACTGACGAAGTGATTCCGTAACAGAACCGTAGTCATTCTCATATATATATATGTGTGTGTGTCCACATCAATTAATTAATTGATTAATATTTCCCAATAAATTATAATTGTTGGATTCAAAAAGTAACTATCACAAATTATAGGCAAAACGTACCGTTTGAGGATATGCAACATTGGGCTCCAAAACTCGCTCAACATCCGAATCCAAGGCCACAAGATGAAGGTGGTGGAGGTCGAGGGGACCCACACGATGCAAATTAGCTACTCTTCCCTCGACATTCACGTAGGCCAGTGCATGTCGGTTCTTGTCACAGCCGACCAGCCACCTCAGGAATATTACATTGTCGTGTCCACTCGTTTCACTACTCCGATCCTCACCACCACAGGCTACCTCCGCTATGCAAACTCCAACCGACGTGCATCTGGGCCTCTACCCAGCGGGCCCACCACCCAGATCGATTGGTCCCTTAGTCAGGCTAGGACCATCAGGTACATACATTTCTGACTAAAAATGCATTTCTAGTCCTGTTGGTTTATCGTCATATCATAGCAGTTTTTTTTTCCAAAATTCTAACTTTTTGCTTTTTGGTCCTGTGATTAATTATTTTGCTGCAATTTCAATCCTCAAATAACTGAAATTGCAAAAAATAAAGAAATAATAATAAATTACATGACTTAAATTGCTAATCGAATATCTAGAAATTTGGAAAAGATCATAAGAGTGTTTGGTTTTATTTATTTATTTGCTCTATTTTTATTTCGTGAAAGATCATGGATTATTCTTTTTGCTTTTATTTTTAGCTATGTGTAGCTAAACATGTTCTAGGGACGCTGAACTATGGATGACTATGTTCGATTAATGCAATTATCTCGTTTTTACTTGTCGTATAAAATTGTTTGTGTTATTTTAGTTACATGTCATAATGTGGGATTTTTAATTTAGTTTGACCACCTAAGTTAAGAATTGCATGTTAATTGCTAGATTTAGGTCTTGAGAACTAAAATTGCAGCAAAATATTAAATCACAGGACTAAAAAGTAAAATAAGACTAAAATTGGTATGACGTTAAACCAAGACTAAAAATACAGTTTTGCTCTACATACTTCCCAAAGTCAGCAGAACAAGTAACCATTTCCCACTATCCAAATTTCATGTTTTCAGAACTAACTTGACGGCAAGTGGGCCGAGACCGAACCCTCAGGGGTCATACCACTATGGCATGATCAACACGTCGAGAACAATCCGGATAGCCAGCTCAGCAGGACAAGTCAACGGGAAGCAGAGGTACGCGTTGAACAGCGTGTCGTTTGTCCAGGCAGACACCCCTTTGAAACTCGCCGATTATTTCAACATAAGTGGAGTTTTTCGAGTCGGGAGCATTCCTTACGCGCCCAACGGCCGCGGAATATACCTCGACACGTCCGTAATGGGCGTCGACTATAGAACCTTCGTAGAGGTCATTTTCGAGAACTACGAGAATATCATGCAGAGCTATCATCTGAGCGGCTACGCTTTTTGGGTTGTCGGGTAATTAAACACCTTAATTGACATGCACGAACACAAATGTTAAATTTGTACGTATTTTTTACTTACGTGCGTGTAACTTGAAAACAGAATGGATGGAGGGCAGTGGACTTCAGCTAGTCGAAATCAGTACAATCTACGTGATGCGGTTTCTCGTTGCACAGTTCAAGTATGCTTTTTATCCAATGCTCCCAACTTTTGTTTTAAGAATACTTTCTAAAGTAACATTTGATTTAATATATATGTATAATGCAGGTATACCCCAAATCGTGGACGGCTATTTATATTGCCCTGGACAATGTGGGCATGTGGAACTTGAGATCCGAGTTCTGGGCTCGTCAGTACTTGGGACAACAATTTTATCTGCGAGTTTACACGTCATCAACCTCGTTAAGAGATGAGTATCCCATCCCAAAGAATGCACTTCTTTGTGGCAGGGCAAGCGGCAGGCACACTCGCCCGCTTTAAACAGGCGAAGTCATTTTTTAAGTTTCCAGCCTATGGAGTGTGAGTTTTCACAAGCAGCTCGGGTATAGGGAATAGGACGAAAAAGTCACAGCTTGTTTCTTTAGATAATTTAAGTTTGAATTCTTGTGGGTGCTAACTCAGCACCTTTAGTTTGTAGATTAGGGGGGCATGCTATTGCTGTGTTCTGGTATTTTTCATGTGTTTTTTTTAAGTTGATTGACCTTAGCTCAAGGTCTTATTCTTTCAGTTTGTACTGGATGTTTCTGCTCCTGTTTGGGATTTGTGATTGATCTTATATTATAATAAACGGAATGTTCTTTTTTCACTACCCTTCCTTTGTAGATGATTGCAAAGTAGATGTGTGAGGAGAGATCAAACCTCTAGTTTAATTATTTGGTAGATAAATGTTTATATTAACTTATTGGGGGAGAAAAAAATGTAAGTAAAATGGGTGTTGAGAAGAGTGGAGTCATACACAGGGCTTCTGCAGTTCCTTTATAATAAATAAACGCAGAGTAAATTAGTTGATGATCATCACCCCTCGTTTTATACAATGGGAGGTCATTAAAATATTGTTTCGTCAGGACACATGGTGGCTTCTAATTGATAGATGATGAGTATCCGGCAACTTGAGCAAGTGACTTATCTCATTGTGATTGGTCGGAAAAAGTATTTTATATGTGTGAGTGTGGAAAAATTTATATGGTCACAAAAATATTTACTCTCAAATCTGATTTTATATGGTTGGAAAAATTGACATGCCACGTAGGAAAATAGAGTCAATCTAGAAAAATTTATTCTCCAATGCAATGACAAGTGGATTGAGTCCTGTATCGGACCATCGGTGTGACAACAAGAAAAATAGATCTGATCTAATCTTAAGTCTATTTTAGATCAACGTAGAATTTTTTTTGCATTGTAGTGCAAGACTTGAGTAACGTTACACACCACGTAAACAAAATTTAACCCTGATCTTATGATTACCAAGGTTGTCAAAACCTAATCGGACCGCCCGGTCCGACCGGTTTAACCGGTTGGCACTCCAGTCCGGTTTGAGGTGTGTAACCGCCAGTGTCAAAAACCGGTCAAAAATCGTTCAAATCGTTTTAAAACCGGTAAAATCGGTCAACCGGTGGCAGTTCGCACGGCCAAATGGTTTCTTGAATCTGACTACAATATCCTAAGTTCTATCTTAAATATACAACTGCATTGCATTCAACTTCCGATGTGGGACAAGGATATATTCCTTGTGTTTGGGAGGAAAGCTGGTGAGCCAGATTTGAGGAAAAAAACTAAAAAACTTGTGGAGAATTGTTTTGTTATGTTTTGCCCAATTCATTTGTCATTCCTCAACAAAATTATGTAATATATTATATGATTTTACCTAAATTATTAGACTTGGGAATATTACATGAAGATGGTCTTGAGTTTCTATTTAATTTTAAATAATTGTTTGGTGTTTTTAAATGTGCAATGTTTATAATAATCTAAAATGATTATATACAATATTCATATAAGTTTCGCAATATAGTATCTTTTGAGTTTTGATTGTCTTCAAAATTATTTTATAGTCTCATATAAATTTAAAAATATACTTTATTTTTTTAACTAAAAATAAAAAATTTTAAAACGTGATTTAAAATAAACAAAATTATTGAGTTATTATTTAAAAAATTATTGTCTTCAAAATTATTTATAGACATTAATCAACATTGTTAGTTGTATTTATTATTAAGTTATTATTTAGAGAAATGTCATACATTATAAAATTAATAATAAATTTATAAAATAAATAAAAAATTATATATTAATTAAAGCGATTCGACCGGTTCGACCACTGGTCCGATCAGTGAACTATTGAACCAGTAGCTTCACCGGTTCGATGACCGGTCCGGTTTTGACAACCTTGATGATTACAAATTTTCTTATAATACTTCGGCTCTGAGCACGGTTGATAACTAGTTAAATAGTATGAGATAATGTTTAATAAATATTTTTATACAATCAATCAATTAACTCAAATAATCTATTATTATATAAAGAGGCAACCCAATAAATCCTAAATAGTAGCTAAAAAATAATTAAGATTCCCGCCTAAAAATTTACTAAACATAGTAACTTTTTTTTTTTTTTGAAAATTTTTGTAAATCCCGCCAAAGCATAATTTGAAATTTTCGGTCAAAAATTTAAATTCAAATGCTTAAGGAAAGGATGGACTGTAGATTTTTTTTGGTATATTCAATCTTTATTTTAAGTTCCATATAATCTCTTCATTGTAACCCAAGTGTAATGTAACTCAAGTTCCATATATATATAGGGGGCGGATCAAATGCGCCCAGCTCTTAAAATGCGCCCAACTTTTAAAATGCGGACAGCTCTTAGCAACTATAGACAACTAACCTAGCAACTACATAGAACTAACCTAACAACTACAAAGCTGAACACTGATGGCTCCTTCGATCGCCACACTGGACTTGCCGGAGGAGGAGGCTTGATTCGGGACCATAGCGGCGCCCTAATCACCGCCTTCCACGCGTCCATTCAGGCCTCCTCGAGCTACGATGCAGAGATTCAGGCACTACAGATTGGCCTTCAGATTGCTGTCCACCTCTCTAGTCATATATGGATCGAGCTGGATGCTGCGGCTGTCGCTACCCTCCTGACTTCGGGCCATCAGGGCTCGTGGCAGATTCAGCACCCGCTTCTGCGCATTAGAGATCTACTTCAGTCAGTCCATCACAGGATCACGCACATTTTCCGTGAGGGGAACAGACCGGCTGATTACCTGGCCAGCCTTGGCGCCACCATACCAGGCACACATACATTCCAGACCGACACTGCTCCATTCCGTCTTCGCACTCTTGTACGGATGGACCAGCTTGGATATCCAGCGTTCCGCTTTCACTAGTTTAGGATTTCTATTTTCATTAGTATAGACATTTATCTCGGGCATCTGTTAGCCCGAAGATCGACTTTATATTGTAGTTTTTGTTTCTTTTTCGTTTTTCGGTTTTTCTTTCTTGTTTTCCTTTTGTTTTTGGTTTTGATTGTCAGACTATGTAGACCTTTGTATCTGGTTCGTTGACATTTGAGCTCCCGTTTTTGGGGCCCTGATCTATGCACAGGTTGGGGAGCCAGCCCAATCCCCCGTCCTTCCGGGGCGTTGTTTGTTTAAAAAAAAAAAAAAAAAAAAAAAAAACCTAACAACTACAAAGAACTAACCTAGCTACTACTAACCTAGCAACTAGAGAGAACTAACCTAGCAACTACTAACTTAGCAACTACAGAGAACTAACTTAGCAACTATAAAGAACTAACCTAGAAACTATAGAGAACTAACCTAGCAACTACATACAACTAACCTAGCAACTACAGAGAACTAACCTAGCAACTATATAGAACTAACTTAGCAATTAATAATCTATAGTAACTACAGAGATGAGAGAACTAACCTAGCAACTACAGAGAACTAGTCTAACAACTACATAGAACTAACCTACCAACTACAGAGAACTAACCTAGTTGGAAGGTTAGTCGTCAACGGTCAACGCCGGAGTCAACAGCACAAAATAATCAAAATAATATTTAAATAATTAAAATAATAAAAAGAAAAGAGTAAATCTTGGCCACACATGATGTACCAAATCTTGTGGTTAAAAATGAGTCTCACGTCCTCACTTTAAATAAGTGGATGCATTGGAACCAATCCCTATATATATATATATATATATATATATATATATAAGAATATTCTTTCTATAAGTGTTATAAATAATAATAATGACATTATATGACAATAAACTTTTAAAATAAAATAATATCTTGAGTATTATGATGAACAAAAATAAGTAAAATTATTATTATTATTTTTTATCAGAAAATAAATACATGTGTTAAAATATTATTTTTATTAATTTAAACAGTTTAGCGGACTAATATAACGTTAAAATAAAAAAAATTAAGGTACAAAACCTTCCGTGCATCGGGATGCTTAGCATGATTGGATATAAATCCAACAAAAAAAAAATCCAATCATTTTAACTCAATCATTTATTTTAACTCAACTTTAACTCAACCCCACTATCATCAATATTATCAATATAATTAAATAATATCAATCAATCATTCTTACACACAATATCAATCTTAATTCACTATTTATCAACTCACATAATTTCAACTAACCATCACATCATATCTTGTCTCTCCTACTTTTACATTAATTTAATTTTAATTATTTTATTTAATTATTATTTAAATATATCCACGAACAACTAATCATACCAACTTTTTCAAATTTAACCAACCCAAACAAAAAATCCAATCAAAACAAAAACTTTTTATATCCATTCATGTTCACTAGTTTAATCATATTGTGGTATCAGCTAATGTAATTCTATTTCAGAGTTAAAGGAAGGAAATCCGACCGTCAGTGTAATCTCTGACGCAAAATCTAGCCGTTCGTTAAGACGAATAAGAGCACCACCCCAACCTCCCTTTTCTCACTTGATTCATTCACTACTTTCGGCGGGATCCAAGTCCTAGCTCTGCTGCGGAGGTTTGCTAGTAGAAGGTTCATTTCTTCGAGTTAACTTGATTGGTTAAGGCTATAACAATGATTTCCTCATTGAAACTTTAGTCCTAGTTCTAGATCATCGAACTTTGATTGTTCCTGGAAATGTATTTCACCTATTGCCTACTTGAAATGCTCGGTGGGGTTTCAAGCTTGTCAAATATCGAATCCCCTATCGTTTTAGCATATTATTGCTGCATTTCGAAGATTTTTGTTGTTTTGCCCTGCTTGTTTTAGGGTTTTAAATAGGATGAACATGTTGTGATTCAATGTTTCTAGGGTTTACTGGAAGAAAGGCTTTTTTTATCCTATTCTTTTAATACTATTGCCGGAAGGCATGGTTGCTGTTTGGCGTCATATTGCTGTTAAATTTGATAGGGGATGAACTTAATTTATATACATTGTTGTTGGTGGTGTTAGAGTTTTCAAAATATATGGAGGGGGCCTTTCAAAAATCGTTTGGCTGAGTAGAATGCTAGGGTTCATTAAAATTATAAATTATAATTCCATTTTTAACAGTTCCAGAGTGGAGCTTGTCTGTATTTAGTTTAGGATGTCTGAGTTGTAATTATTTATTCCTTCGGATTAGATATGCATTGATTATTTGTGGCGTTGTTTTCTTTTGTTTAGCCCCCAGAGAATCATTTGAGTGGGGCGTGTGTTTTTCCACAATCATTTTCAACATTTGCTCCAATGGCGGTATGTTAAAAGACTTACTGCACACTTCTGCCAAGTTTAATTCTTGAATTGCAAAACTCCAGTTTTTCTGAATGATGATGTCTTTGAGTTTTTAGGTTGAGAAACTTTTTAAAGATGAGGCTACTGAAGAAAAGGGTGAGCGTGCCAGAATGGTTAGTCCTATCTCTCTATGATGTGACTTTTTGGGTAACTTTTGTGTTTACATGATACCCTTAAAGAAACCCTGGTGAAGCACGCTTGATACATAATATTTTATCTATTTGAGGCAGCTGCTAACTTTTATTTAGTAGCAGTCGATTAAAATTCCGCCCGATGAGGGCCGCAATTTTTACTGGGTCACCTTAGATGTAAGATTCTGTTGATGGACTTGCATCCATGCTGACAACTAGGTTCTTCCTCTTTTTCTGTTAGGCCTCCTTTATTGGAGCAATGGCAATTGCTGACCTGGTTAAGACGACATTGGGCCCTAAGGGAATGGTAATGGACGCATGTCATCTTTGTTTATTTAAAACTCATTGAGAAAATTTGTTTTTGACCATTCGTTTTACATATTGTATTGCCTTCTTTTTGTAGGATAAAATCTTGCAATCTACCGGAAGAGGACACAGTGTTACAGTTACAAATGATGGAGCAACCATATTAAAGTCGCTGCACATTGACAATGCTGCTGCTAAAGTCCTTGTTGGTATCCTTTGTTCCAAGTCATATATTGTGGTGTGGGTTTAATTGTTTATAGAGTTTCTCCTCATGTTCGTTTTTAGGCATTATTATATGATTGGTATTGTGGATGCTAAAGTACCATTTCTCTTGATGAAAATTCATGAGGATGAGAAAGTACTAGAAGATTCCTCAAATTTTTAAGCTTTTGGCTAGCCTTGATTTCATTTTCAGACATCTCCAAAGTTCAAGATGATGAAGTTGGTGATGGAACAACTTCAGTGGTTGTCTTAGCTGGGGAGCTTTTGAGGGAGGCAGAGAAGCTAGTGAATGCAAAAATTCATCCAATGACTATAATTGCAGGTTAGTCCTTTCTCTAAATTCTCCAGTGCTCCAATATTTTACTCGGTAACATTTTATGTGCAACACTACATACTAGCCAGTTTCATAGTCGTGATCCATTACATGCTTAGTCCAGTACAAATATAATCTGTCTTTCTAAAACTGTTTTTGTATCTTAGACATTTGTCAGTTATATACTAATTTTGGTGATAAATTTTCCTGATAGCTTATCATTTGGACATTTTACCAGGTTACCGCATGGCAGTTGAATGTGCAAGGAATGCGTTGCTGGAGAAGGTGGTGGATAATAAACCAGATGAAGGTTTGCTTTGACTTATTCTGTTGAGATGTAGGATAGTAAACAGGATGAAGGTTTGCTTTGACTTATTCTGTTGTGATGTAGCATTTCGTCTGTAAGGTTCAAACTCTGTTCCTTAAGAAGCTTTTTTCGTATCTACTATAGAGGAAAATAATCTGTGCGTGGTCATTTTTATGCCTTCTTGTAACTAATTATACAAACAGATTTCAAGGATTCTGGACTAAAGCCTAGATGTAGTTGCTAATGTATATTGTCTGCGGGTCTGTGGAAAGGGTCAAAAGATTCAATGGGATGGGAGTGTAGTTTTATTGAATCGGACATCTTTACAGATCTTGTATATCTTTTGTTTCCAGAGAAATTCAAAGCAGACTTGATGAAAATTGCAATGACTACCTTGAGCTCAAAAATTCTCTCTCAGGACAAAGAACATTTTGCAAAACTAGCTGTTGATGCAGTCATGAGATTAAAGGTATGAGTATTTTGAATTCGTACCTTGTTAACTCCAGGCTTCAAAAGGTCCCATGTGACATTTCTTACAATCTCTATATGAGTTATACATTTGTATTTTGTTTTGGAAATGTATTATCACTTGACATTGGCTGGGTTGATATTCGCTTTAATATGACATTGAGTTGGAAGATAACCGTTGTCAGGTTTCTGCCCATTATCTTTGTTAATGGGTATTAGTTTATAATTTTAATTGATATGACTACTTTTTATATATTGTGTTGAAAGTTAGCTGATTTCTGGTTGATTTAATTTGTTATTTTGAAAATGACAGGGAAGTACAAATTTGGAATCCATTCAAATCATTAAGAAGCCTGGCGGTTCACTGAAAGATTCATTTTTGGACGAGGGGTATGGCAGCTGAATTGTTTGCTTTACTTGGCTTTCTCCACTTCTAAAAGATATTAGTTCTCCCCTTTTCAAAATTAGAAATAGTAATTCTCGTAGATGTTTTAATTGTTATTGAGTCTCCTGGTTTTTAATTGATGTTTATTGTTAAATGTCATGACATTAGCTGCTGCATTGGGAAATTTTAACTTTCAAATTATATAAAATTTTCTTTTTCCCCTTAACATGACCGAGGATGGACTTATATATTAAGATGCAATGTAATTTCTTGCACTTCTCTGCTGTTGGAGAAACAAATGCCTAATTCACCTAATTACCTATTTCAATATATCCGTCTCCTTCTGTTCCTATTCTAACTTCCCTTAGTGAAGAAAATATGGCACAAAAGGTGGAGTTTTTGGTAATTCCCATTGAAATGTAACTTTATGATTTGCATTGGACCATAAATTCAGTAACTTTTCACCTTCATGCCATTCAGTTTAGCACGTGAAAAGGATATAGGCATAGCCAGTTCACATAAATCTCCAGACCTGACTTGTTCATCTGTTTTCATATCTAGTTATACCAGCTGCCCATTTTTTATTAATGATGATTTTGATCCATTACCTGCTTCCGTCAATATATCATTGGTTTAATTTGACTTAGATTTACATCTCTGGATCAGTTTCATTTTGGACAAAAAAATGGGTGTTGGACAACCAAAACGAATCGAAAACGCCAAGATTTTGGTGGCGAATACTGCCATGGACACGGACAAAGTGAAAATTTACGGGGCGCGTGTTCGGGTCGATTCCATGGCCAAGGTCGCTGAGATTGAAGTAGCCGAGAAGGAGAAGATGAGAGAGAAGGTGCAGAAGATCATCAATCACGGCATAAACTGCTTTGTCAACCGACAGCTGATTTACAATTTCCCTGAAGAGCTGTTTGCCGATGCTGGTGTGCTCGCAATCGAGCACGCAGATTTCGACGGAATCGAGCGGCTGGCTCTCGTCACTGGGGGCGAGATAGCATCTACTTTCGACAATCCCGAGTCTGTTAAGCTCGGGCACTGCAAACTCATTGAGGAAATCATGATTGGCGAGGACAAGTTGATCCACTTCTCTGGAGTAGAAATGGGTCAGGCATGCACTATTGTTCTGAGAGGCGCAAGGTTTACTTTAAACCATTTATTTTAGCGATTTCATCAACTTTTCTTTTTCTTTTTTTTTTTTTCCTTATTTTTATTTTTTTTTGGTTGGCTTCAGCCCTCACATGCTGGACGAAGCCGAGAGATCTCTTCACGATGCGCTGTGTGTGCTGTCACAGACAGTGAATGACAGCAGGGTCTTGTTCGGTGGGGGGTGGCCGGAGATGGTGATGGCGAAGGCAGTGGATGAGCTGGCGAGGATGACTCCAGGGAAAAAATCCCACGCAATCGAGGCATTTTCTCGTGCGCTTGTGGCCATCCCGACAACCATTGCCGACAATGCTGGTCTGGACAGTGCCGAATTAGTCGCTCAGCTTCGGGCAGAGCACCACAATGAGGGTAGCACTGCTGGAATTGATGTCATCTCCGGAAATGTAAGTTCTCTTTGACTGTATAGACTTGCAAAGGGCAAGTGGGCAATCCGTCTTGTTTTAAATGTTAAGGTTTGTTGAGCTTCAGACTGTACCTGAGGTCCAGTGTAATTATGAGAGCACGCATCCAGAAGGAAATAAATAAGGAAAAGAAAGCATGGTGATGTTCAGAATCATAGATGAGGATTAGTACCTTTACAAACTTTCATTGGAGAGTTTCATTTTATCTGACAAATACAAATACCTCCCTGTTGAGGATGCAGTTCAGAGACTAAACAAGCGTAATAGGCGTATTTTAATTATAATTCTCAAGTATAGTTCTGCATAGTTTTGTATTCGGTGATAAGACTTAATGCCAGAGTACCATGTAACTAAGCTTGTAGCAACTTTAAAAGAAACTGGAAACTAATAAAACAACAAGTTACATGAATGGACATATCCAACGTCATGGATAGATGGAAATCAGAAATTCACCCTCCAACCTCTCATATTTTATCAAAGAATCAGAGATATCATTATGATTTGCTGGACTTCAGGAACTTGTTTGCAAATAGATTTGCCTGTTTCCTATTTCATTGATAATGACTGATTTGCGTCTCAAGTAAAAGATGTAATTGGGGCCATTACATGACGCTTAAACTGTTGGTTTGGGGCAATTTGTTTCTTGCTGCAGGTTGGAGATATGGCAGAGCTCGGGATATCAGAGGCTTTCAAGGTGAAGCAGGCTGTATTGCTGTCAGCAACCGAAGCTGCTGAGATGATCTTAAGGGTAGACGAGATAATCACTTGTGCCCCACGAAGGAGGGAAGATCATATGTGAAAAAAAAAAAAAAAAAATGCACTTCAGAGATGATCTGATTTTTAATCCTTTTGTGTGAACTTTTCAAGAAAATACCAGTTTGTGTTGGGACGTCAGCAGTAATGTAAGGAAGGTAGACGAGATCTGTTTGATTATTTTCTGTAGACCAGAATTATATTTGGCATTGCAGGTGCGCTTGGTTTTTGCACGTAATTTTGAGGCGAGAACTAGGACAATATAGATTGTATGCTTCGTGTTTTGGAAATTTCAATTCTATCTTTTCTGTTTTAGAGGAACCTTTATTTTTAACAATTGACGGCAGCTAGTACTAGGGAATGTTGCAAAAACTACTCCGTTAATTTTACTCTCCTGCCCTTGTCTCTCTCCCCCAAAAAGAAAAACTTGAAATTTTAAGGGGTGTATAGTTAGTGAATTATCGGTAATTTCAATGGTGTATTTGTTCGGNAGGATTTAAAAAAAAAAAAAAAAAAAATATAATTTTTAAAATTTTGGTACATTTAAGTTAGACGTTTTAAGACTTTTGAAAGTTTCAACATATTCATTTGAGATTTTGAAGTCTTTACAAAATTTTTGGATATTAACTTATTTGAAACTAGGATTTGTTAAAACTTAAAACTTTTTAAGCTTGTTTGAATTTTAAAAGAAAAATGATATACAAAATCTCATTTCATTTAAGATTTCACAATATTCATCTTAAATATGAAAATCTTAAAAATTTTGAAATTTAAAAAAGTATCAAAATATGAGTCAAATTTTAACTCAAACATAGTCCATTTAGTAAACTCTGGATCTAAAAAGCTGAATTAATCATATATTATGCATAATATCTTAAACTCACATTAAAACGTCAAACACGACTGATAATAAAATAAATTAAAAATCATAATATAAATAAATTAAAAAAATATCAGTGACATATATAAACAATTTATTATGCGTCTTATCAATTATTAAAGTGTAAAAGATTATTAATTAACGAAATTTGAACATAAATAAGAAAAATGAAATAAACTTAAATTTCTATGGGAACCAAATACACAAATAAACGCACACTACAACAAAAATTGTCATATTTCAACAGAAATTCCAACGGTAATATATTTGAATGAAAATTTCAACAGATACACCGTGGTATACAACATTAATTTCAATGGAAATATACCGTTGGAATGAGTTTTCTATAGGAATTTTAGATGGAATTTGATGATTCTAACGACCATTTTTCGAACGATTATTACCGTAGAATTTTTCTGTTGGAATATGCAATTTCCATTGAAAGTTGTATTTCACCCATATTTTAACTGTTTGAATCGTTAAAATTCAAAGGAAGTTCCAAAGAAAAATCCAATTCAAATGGAATAGTTTTGTTGAAATTTCCGTTGGATCCATTTAAAAATTTAAACGGAAACAATAGCATTATAATATCTATTGGAATTGCCATTGAAATTCCACTGAAATATATTTTTGTTGGAAGTTCATCATTTTCTTGTAGCGATAAAATCAAAGTAAAAAGTTAAAGATGATTTTTCATCCATTTTTAATTTAATTTTTATTTGAATGTTTTTTTTTATTATTATTATTATGGTCTTGTCGTGGCATGTTAGTAAGTGTACAATGATGTTAAAATTTAAAGGTCTAAATTGATAATTTTCATTCCATTAATAGTTACTCATCTTTTAAGTCATCGCCCTTATGTATAATTCTTGAATGTGTTGAGCCTTTTGGCAGACTCGTATGTTTCGTAAACTTATTTGCATAAATGTGTGTTTCGTATTGATATATGTTCAGATTTAATTTTGACTATTAGGCTTGAAAATTACCATAAACTATTAGCTTTCATATTTTTCTTTAGTTATCTTATACAACTTTTATCTTTTTTTTTTTATATTTAATTTATATATTAATTATTATAAATATATATTTTTTATTTTTAAAAGTTTATAACTTTTTATTTATATTTTATTTTTAATATATAATATATTAAAATAATCATATTTTAAGGATCTGCGATTTCACATCCATATTGCATATATAAAATAAAAATAATTTCATCTATAAAGAATATAATAATTATATATAATAAAATACCCCCTATCTATCAATTCAGAACGTGCTGAGCCTAAGTGGCAGGCTCGCATGCTTCAGGATCCTATGTGGCAAATTTATATGCTTCGTTGTTAGGTTTGGATAGATTTTAATTTAATTCCAATCCAAAAATAATTAGGTCCGGATTACCATAAATATGTTGATTATTTATGGTCATGTTACATATAGTAATTGCATTTTAATATCATTTATTATTACAATCATTGAATGGTAAATGTATTTTAAAAGTCAATAACTTTTGTATTTTTATCAGTTTTATATATATAATATATCAATTAATCATCTTTTGATGAGTTTCGATTTAACATCCATATTGTATGTATAAAACAGATAAATTATATTTATTGTTATAACAATAATAAAATTGTTTTTTAATATTAATTAGACAAATAAAATTATTTATCAAATAATATATTTATATTTTAAGTAGTTATATGATATAAGTTACAAAAATTATTATAATATAACATATGTAAGTCACAAGTAACAAGTGACATTCTAAAATATATAATAATAAATATGTTTTGTAAAAAAGTAAATAAAATTTAAATAGTTTTTCTCATTAATTGTAAAATTTTAGAATAATTTTTTAATAAGCACCCGTGTAATACACGGGTGTTATACTAGTAATTTTATATTTCATAAAGTTAAAAAAGAAAGTATTTCTGTGTAAATTAATATTCTAAATTCTTAAATTTTATGAATTTAAAATAGTTGAATATTAATAAACGAAAACACCGACTCTATAAATATAAAATATAATAATAATACAATAAAATTTATTTTGTTTTAAAAATATTCGAATAAAATATATGTAGTTGTAAATAATATCAAGTTTATACATTTATAAAATATACTTAAAAGTATCTTTTTTTTAACAAATTCAATGTACAAATACTGACACCATTTGAAATAATTATCACTTTGTTGGTTATTTATTATAACTATAATTTCATTATACATAATTTCACAATAAAAAGATATAATTTATTTTTATTTTTTTATTTTAAAAATATTAATATATTTTAAGTACTCGTGTAGTACAGATGTATCGTACTAGTAAATCAATAGAAACTATCTTAAAATGATAATATTATATTTTTTTAGATTCTAAATCCATAGAATTTATTTTTCATATCCTAAGGGTGCGTTTGGTTGAAAGGATTAGGCTTGATATCATGCCATTTGTTTATATATCAAGTTATTTATTTTGTTTGGTTGCTTTTTTTATAGCCCGTTAAACCCGCAAAAGCCCGGTTGCATATCCCTTTTTCTGTTATTCCGTATCCGAGCATTGAAGTGGGATGAGGTATCATTTATTTCCAAATCAATAAAACACCCAAATTATCCATTTTCATTCTTCATTTTTTGTGCCTTCTTCTCATCGCATCCACCAGTCGCGATCTCCACCCAAAACTTCCTCCATGTCGCCGGCGCCCCCCGTCGAGACCTCCGCCCTCATCGGTGTTAGAGTAGGGTACCCGGCGTTCCAATCTAATTGGACGTATTCTACTTGTAAATACAGTCTATTGGAATTATATTATGAATAAGGCATTTCTTTATCTTAAGAGAAAGCATTTATCTTATAATTGCACTTAAGATAAAATCCCTAGATCACTTATGGTTATAAGGTATGGTTGCGCATAGAGATGGTGATCATGGAACATACCTTGAAAGCCGTGATCTTAAATACAGTTCCAAGTCGATGGATGTTTCGAGATGGGATATCGAATAATTCATAAAAGACTTGCACATAGTTTGTATGCTTGTTGGACAAGAATGTTGCATTCCATCAACATTAGCGTAAGACGTAAGTACATTTATGTGGGTGCTTGTTAGAGAAACGTAAGTACATTTATGTGGGTGCTTGTTAGAGAACAAGTTCACTGAACATGACCGTATGAAAATTCTTAATGAAGAATTTATTCAGTCGAATAAAAATTTTCATGTTACAATAGTACATGACTAATCCTAAGACTTGAGGCACAATGGTAACTTTGTACATATTACATTCTACTTTGATTTATCCTTTTGGTAGCTAGCACTATCGTTTAAAGGGATAAGTTGGGTATTATGTTAATATGTATGGAAGTTTGTTAGTGGCCAATAAAGGATTTGACACTTACGAAGATAAGTGAATTTCCTATGTGTTTCATAGTTATTAATCCAAAGTCCTTGGCCAAGGCAGAGATGAATAGTGATTCATAATCGGGTTAATAAACTTGAAATAGAATCATAGTTATTAAGTCAATTTGGGTTTCGACAAAATCATACCCAAGACTTAATCGGGAAATTAGATGTC